CGAGAACGGGAGGTGCTGCCGGCCTGGGGAGGGGGGAGGCTCCTTCTGTGGCGTTTTTTTGTGGGAGTCCCACTTGTCGCTTTGAAGGCCACGTTTTAAATACGGGTCCGACGGGCAACACAACTGCGTCAGGCGCTGCTGTAGGAATAGGGAAGGAGGTGGCGTTACGGTGACAGCTTACAAGACTCCCATAAACGCTGCAGTGCTTGTGTGCTGGAGCATCTCCTGTTCCCGGCCCTGCAAAGGCCGTTCCCAGCATTACTGAACACCTGAGATCTTGACACGAAGCTGAAAAACGTAAGGGAGCAGGAAGTGTCCCCTGTGTTCCTGTAAGAGTCTTCCCTAGATCCATCTCATTCTTGAGAAAGGGCTGGGCAAAGCAGCACTGTGCAGACACGTCCAGAACATCTGTGTCAGCCTGGACAAGTCACTTGCTTTCAGATACGTTTGGTAAATACTTGCCCTCAGTTTAATTACTGAGTGCTCTTCTGCGGACTGTAATACAAAAGGGCAGTGGAAGATGTGCAGCTTAATTGTACACGCTTCAGAGATTTGAGCACAGTTAAATTTGTTCTGTTTAAGAAAAAGGCAGAAAGAAGAGCTTCACAAAAAATATCTTTAATGTTTTATCAGAACTTTTCACTTTTCCAGTTACATAGAAAAAAAAGATGAGTTTGGTACATGGGGGGGCTAAAACCAACCAGTGTTCTGCCCTGGAACAGATGACAATCTTATGACCCAACTCCATTCTCTTGGGCTCTTCAACACAAAAAAAGTTATTTTTCCTCCCAAAGCACAGTATTTCTTCAGCAGCAATGGAAATGGGATCACAGCAGCTTAACCTGACCCCTCTATAAAGCTTTGTATAAACCAGTAATTTTATGATGACAACACTGTCCTTGAAAAGAAAGAGCGGCAGTCAGACATCGATGCAAACATGGAATGATTAGGTCATAAACATATGGCACTTACAAAGGTAGCTTATTTGAAGGCATCACCACAGCAGAGTGGCCAGTTGTTCTACTATATGCCCAAAGACAAATTTTTTCTGAAATTTATAAAACTATTTCAAAAAAAAAAAAAAAGATTTGTACCAAAAAGATGTGCTTTTAAAAAAATATGAACTGTGCTAAGCAAGTCTAAGATTTTGGTATATTATATATGTGTATACATATATACATACACACACCAAAAAAGCATGCGTGTCTGTATATATATAGACCTCTCTTTTCCCTTTAAACTTTTAAGGCTTCAGCAGTTGGTTCCACATTCAGTAGCTTTCAAGCTTCAGACGACCTCCATCTCCTTCGCTCACAAAACGCTTTCTGCCCCTGTAAGAAAGTGGAAATCTTTTCAGTAATTTAAAGTAGCATCACTTGTTTTTTCTTACCCATCACTAAGAATCTTCTCATGGTCTTGGAGTCAAATATAAGGTGTGCAAGTTCAGCAAGATTAGCTGAGATTCTTGATCACTGATAAATTGCTTAAAATCCATCTGAATCTTACATCTAGGCCTTCTCGCAATAACCTTTTCAAAATTTGCATTGTCAAGTGCTTTCTACTTTACTCACCTTTTAATGTTCACACTTGCAAAAGATGCTAGTTTGAAAGCCTGAGAATGGTGGTTCTGTACCCAAAACTGAAGCACATAAGCCAAAAATGCCTCTCAGCATATTAATGGTAACTCAAGTATAATCGAGCTTTTATTGCAGCAATGAATTTCAACCCTCCCACACCCCAAACCTGCAAAATATTTGATGCCAAGATACACACAAACTCAATAAAGTCTGAAGTCCACAAATGGAGGCTGTTATTCATAGACATTTCAAAACCAGAATTTATCACAAGCTGTTGAGATGGTTTAAGCAGCCTAAAAACACACCCAAACTGGAGAAGATCTGCAACAAACAGTATTCCTGATGCATAAAATTGCAAATAATAGTTTTAACACCATGTTTAAAATTTTACATGTATTCCTCACAGGAAATTAATCTTATTATTTGTATTGTGACCAGTAAGGAGAGAACAGAATACTGATTAGTCACAGTCCAAACAGCATTATTTATGCCATGAGTAAACAATAACAAAGTAAAAAGCACTGCACACACACCACATGGCAGACAGATAATGAAGGAATCAGGTATGTAGAGTGTCCTATTCTCTTTTGCCATAAATGCTAAGAATTAGTTGTCTCATCTTAGACCTCTATTCATGCAGTTTGGGATGTTTAAGCTATTAAGCTTTTTTTTTTCCCCACTGTAGCTGACAGTTTTCTGCCATCACCTACATGGATTATTGAGACGCCCGAATCCTCCATCTCGAGTACCGCCCTGATCTCTCTAGCAAGTAAATCAGCAGAACAGGGAAAGGCAAGTCTTCATCCCGTGGAGAGCACACAGGCCTTCTACCTGGGACTCACGGGAGGCTTACTTCCCTCAAGTATTTAATCCAGCCTCCACATAGCAGGTTTCACATCAGTGCAGGTTCTTGATACACCTTTTACCAGTCCAACCCTCTGTTTCTCCATCCTCCTTAGTTTCCAGTTCCAATCTGTAATACTTTGGTCATAAAATCCTGTTTTCTGTTACCCAAAAAGCAGTGTGTTCACCTGTCTACAATAAAACAAGTACCTTGAAGGACAGAGGTCTCTCAGTGGTTTGGAGATTATTCCAGCCTGAAAGCATTCCTCTACAAACCGCTCAAGCACAGAATAGGAGTGTGGCACATCCAAGTTAATATCTGGGATTTCACAGTAAACTCGTTCATAGCCCTGCAATGTAAGAATTTAAATAATGATCTGGTTATTCTATTATTTTATTACAAGTTTTTAAATACCCTTTTACACTCAGAGAATTTATTTTTTCAACGTAGTTTCACGTATACTACGGACAGTTTCAGCAAACCTAAAGCAGAGCAGCTGCAAGTCAGTATAAAAGCAAGGTATGATACCAGCCAGTACCATGGCCTTACACGACCACCTATCTACACAAAGAACACCAGCTGAACTTTTAACTTCTTTAGAAGCCCAAAATCCAGACAGCACAGAATATGTGTATGTTAACCTGGCTGCTATCGCATGGGTAGTAACACAGGGAAGAAAAGTTAATTCTTCTTCCATGTAAATGAAGAAAATGTGGCCACAGATCTCCACCATAACCATTTCTGCAGAAAGGGAAACACTGGTGACAACCAGAGATGACTTCACCACCTCCCACCAGCAGTATGGCTGGGTACATTTTGACACCAGTCTCTGCGTGGTACCTAGTTTGGCCTGGGACAGAACAGCTGTCCTGCAGTCACACCTAGAAGCAAAACAATGAATGATTCCAAGTCTGTAAAGTATTAGCTTCTACATAATTACAAATGTCAATTAGAACAGTAAGTGCAATTAGGTGGGTTCTTTCTGTTCTTCAATTAAGAAGAACTACTGGATAAAAAGAAAAATTGTATTTAAGAAAAACTAGCTACGTTGCAGCATTTTGAACTATTAGTTCTAACCATTTAATTTCATAAAACCAGTTGGAAAATACTCTGTACCTCACAGTTTTAGAGAGCTACTGCTTGGACTTCATTTGTACTTCTTCCAATACATGACAAGTGTTGTACACACATCAGTGACAGATTATTTGTACGGGATACAGAGTGACCGCGGAGAAATTAAGAGTAGCAGTCAGTAACAGACTACAAATAGTACTTGAAAGAAGGTAAGAACTACACAAATTTGAAAGACCTTGCCCAAAATTCTCTAGATCTCTCACTTACTCTTTTCATTTGGTCCATAGTAATGACAGATGACTTCCAGAGAGCTTTCAGCAAATCCAGTATCATTTTAAAGGTCTTTTCTCCAGTTGACTCCAAAACCATCACAACAGCCTAAAACAAATCATGCAAGTGGTTCAGGTGCGTGTTGTGCAAGCACGAGGTGCGAAAAGGAGCGCGGTATTACGCATTTTCTGGGAAGACAAGTCCCATTTGTTACATGCATTCACAATTTCAGTATATTATTATTATTTGAAAAGAAAAACCGATGAAAATTTATTTGGATAAAGATAAAAGGTATGAAAAACCAGAAGGGACTAGACAAAGTGCAAAGCATTGCCTTTCTGGCTCTGGTTTGAGAGATACATTACTATATCCATATGGTTGTTGCAGTACAGATGGCAATTAATTAATTTTGTATCTACGATTTTTTTGTATCTGATTTTAGAAGAGCTTTGAAATTTAAAATCTACAAATCTCCACAACCCACATCAACTAAAAGAATTCTGTTTTTTTTATCACGAAGAAATTTTCTAAAAGGAGTCCATTTACTGAGGAGAAAATTTTGTAGATGTGGGTGTTCAGCTTTATTGGTAAACAGCCCTTTCTCAGCTTGGCAGAAAAAAAGAGTACAAATGGGAATGGTCTCCGAGATACAGCAAAGATGATCTCTCTCTCATATAGTCTGGTTCTGAAATACCCCAGAGCTTTTACAAATGCCTAGATGGAACAATTCCACCCTGAAAAGTAAGGTCTATAACTTAACACACAGATAACACCCATTAGAATACCCAGATACCTGAAACTGAAAGGAAATAAACACCAAAACAAAGCCTGTCTTTTGCTGCTGTTCCTCAGCAGAAAATAAACTGGGCTCTTCTTTTTCAGGAATTTATAATAATGTGAATTCAGCTACTTACCCAACAAACAAAAATTCATTCTGGATCTTCCCAGAGTTAACAGCAGCTCACTTGTTGCCCATTGTGCACACAAATGAGCTCACAAACCATTAACTTTACATGAAATAATTTAGTTATTCAAATAACATTAGAACTTGCAACCTGAGCTTCAGATTCCAGTTATATTATTTGCATGCCCACATCAAAACAAAACCAAACCTGTTGGTATTACTGACAATTATGACAGGGACTCTGATTTCTCCTTACTTCATATACAAGTTCATGGTGAAAATGGGGTACTTCCAGTTCCTGAAGGCAACGTTCAGCTTCCAGCACATCTCCGGAGAGCAAATACTCTTTCAGCAACATATCAATCTAATGAATTTTAAAACAAACAAAAAGCCCAATTCTAATTAGATATAAATTTTTAAAGCTGTCAACTGTTTTGATAATCTGCAATCAACCCAGCAGCAAGTTAGTTCATAAATGCAATTAAACTGAGACGTTACCAGCTACCTGAAACACAGCATCAGCCAAATACCTATCCATCCTGTTGATACAGACACACAAGCACCAAAAACACTGCTTTTACATGTGTATCACCAGAGCGGGTGAGTAGAAGTAAAATTAATTTTCTTGTTTCCTGAAGTCTTCCTCCTGTCATCTGTTGCACTCACAACCCAGAAGTTATAGCATGACCTTTTCCTTTAAATCTGCCTACTTCATAACATGGATCTCTAAACATTCCTGTTCCTTCCTCTCTCTTTTTTCCCAGTTATTACTGTGCTTTTAATCAGTGATACCAAAAAATAATAATAGTTTATCTAGTTCAGCCAGTTTCATTTTGACTCTTCTAATTACTTCACCATTATATATTGTAAGCTCTTAAAAAATTAAGTGCTTAAGAGTTTTGCTTAAAGCAAAAATGAATGCATACTTGCAACAGAGAATATTGTACAAGCATGTTCCCACCACTGACAGATACTACAAAATTCAACAAAATTATCCACATCAGTTTTTAAAAACTACTTTGTATAAATTATTAAGAAAAAAATCAAAACCAAACAAAACCAACACTCAAGACATCATTTTTCTCTTACGTATCTCTTCACTCCATCGCAAACAAGCTTAGCTTAGACAAACACAAAACTCTAAAGTTTTGTAGAAGTCAGTTACCTCTTTAACAAGGTGTTTCACAGACTGCTGGCCACCTCCTGACCCCCACACATTGTCTATACGCTTTCCACCCTTCGTCATGCTCAGCAACACAGTAGCTCGGTCCAGAGCAGCTCTAGAAAGCAAAGTCCAAGTTTTAAAAAGCTATGACAGAACTTCATTAAAAGGCATCTCTAACTTCTGCCACGGCCATCGTTCTTTGGGCAAAGTGACCAGATTCCTGGGAAGAAGCCAGGGTTAGCAATTCCATGAGGACATCTGGATCAAGAAGCCAGCAAGCTAGCTCCCATCTCCTCTTTCTGCCACCTTTCCACTTTTGGTTATACCATACTTAGGACAGGTAACAATCTGTGATGGTAGCAAATCTGAGTCATTAATGCAGAACCTGAACCATCCTCACAAGAAAGAGCTCAATATTTTCTTATGCAGAGATGGACTGTATGCAGGCTGCTCCAAGAATGCAGCTTGGCACGTGTGACTCAAACAAAAGAGGCTTGAGTTGCTTCCACATTGAACAACAGCTTTTCTACTGAAGTATTATTTTATGTTTGGGTTTAAAGAATTATGAAACCTTGAGAAGTTAAGCCAAAACAGCACTTAGAAGGCAGGTACATAGTTGCAAAAAGATGGCGTGAACTAGGGAAGCTTCATTGAGAAGACAATAAAAAAGGGAATAAGGCAAAAAAAGTCTCAGTTATGCCCCATCCAGCTAAAGGAGGAAGAGTTATCCCAATCCTCATACTGGGAGCTAGCCAATGACAATAACTCTATTCACCAAGAATTAATGAGCAGAAGACTGAACAAGACACAGCAAGGAATCCTAGATGTGCAGAATGCAGGCTACAATCCTTCAAAACACAGGAGACATCTGTATAACTGTGTCCTGGTTTGAGCTAAATAGAACCAATTTTCTAGTGATTTTACTTTTCAGCTAAGTCACTTCTAAGCGGCTTTACTTGCTGAAACTAACAGCATGTTTTTCCAGACAGTGTGTACTTCTACAAGTGACAACGACAAGGCCACTGTCTCACCACCAGTGCCGTATCTGTACCTATGGGGAGAAGCAGACCCAAAACTGACCAACTAGGTGTTCCATCCCACATACATCATACTCAGTATAAAGCTGAGGGATCATGGGTGCAGGGTGGGGGGAGGATTTTATATTGGTTTTATATATATACACATACATTTGTACATATCTGTATATATTTCATTATTTTCCTATTTACATTATTATCCTGTATTATTAGTATTATTGTGTAATTAAATCTGTTAGTTTTATTTTCCAACCCATAAAGTCTCTCTCCCTTATTCTCTTTTCTCTTTTCCCTTCTGGGGAGGGGAGAGGGGTTAATAGAGAGCATCTGTCCAGGATTTAGCGGCCAGCCCTAAACCATGACAAACGGGTAGAAAATTTTCACAATTTGAACCCTCAAGTTACGCAGCTAAGATTTGCCTTCCTTCTAAAAGTACCCAGCTACAATCATTACAGATGGAACTTTTAGAAGCTGCACGAGTTCAGCATGGGGGAAAAGTATTAAAACATGACTATTTATTAAAATGTCCCTCTTTGTCAGAGACTGCTCCTTCAAACTTCTCATTGACATGAAAACTATTGTACTTGTTGATGAATAAAGCCTTACGGAGAAAGTCTTGGAAAGCACTGCATGAGCTTCAAACCTTTATAAGGCAAAACAGTTAATCCTTTGTGTATTTCACAACATATTTACAGCAGCTGTCCTGATGCTATATTTACTCATTAATCACAGTAAAGCTTCTAAAGACAAAACCTCCTATAATCACTTCTTGTTTCAGCTCATTTTTTTTCCACCCTCAAATATGAGCTGGACAAACGCAAAACTGAACTCAAATGTACTAATGCATTTTTCAGGCACTTTCAGTATCTTTACTCTGACCTGAGTCATTCTGGATGTCGTTGTTGTCACTGCAGATTTTGTAGGTTTCTTTTTATAATTTTAAATTAAAAAACCCAAGAAGTTATAGAGAACCACATGATTTATTCTGAAGTCCTAAATTCCTGACCATCATCTTTGGCATTGGGAACAGAAAAGAGTGTAGCGATATAGAAAGCAAGAAAGTTACCGAGCTTGGACACAATCCACAGTGCCTTTGTAGCCGTCTATGTAGGTATTGCTTAGAATCCCATCTCCAACAGCTCTCGCAATAAACTGGCCCACCAACTGCAACAAAACAGAAGCATTTTTAATTATTTAATTTCAAGGCAGTTCTAAGAAGACAATTGTAACATGCTTGGTTTTCAGATTTTATTTAAATGAGCCATCTTAAAGTAAAAGCACAACCTGGGAAATTGGCAGGGGATTATAGACTGTAAGACAATCCACAGATATTTTTCAGAATACATTCTATTTCATTTACTTGATTAATTTTAGCCACAATTTAAAAAAACAAACACAAACCACTTTTGACTGCTAGCATAAAACTTTACAAATATACCTGTGGTGCCTTGGGAGAATCCAACACCAATTCAGGTAGTTCTTTAAGCAGCCTATCAAATGATTTTTCCACATCAGTTTTGCTTACTACTGTCCCACAAAGGTCAGAGATAAGCTTGGATGTCATTTCCCTGTGACTAGCCTTCCCCTCTAATGCCAAGGAAACAGCCAGCACTGGTACACTGTATTTCATTTCACCAAGGTTTAAATCCTTCAGCATCTCCTAAATAAGATTTGAAAAACAAAACAGATTAAGATTTCATAATTCTTATTACATAAATATATATTATATAA